TATATATACAAAGTTAGAAAAAAAACGACGCATCGACTATTAAATTAGTTCTTGACAATTTTAATATTTGACATAATTGTGACTAGTTGACTAATTGTGGCAGCCCTAGAAAATGAATAATTTGTATATGAGAAATCACTAAGATGAAAATGTAAATTAGAGATAACGATATGGATGGAACAACTGAAGTAGTTTTCAAACAAATACATGAAATCAATAAAATCCATTCTCCTTAAGTAATCCTGCACACAGTACATAACATGGAATAACAGACAGAAGTAGATTTGCAGGTAATGTTAATGACATTTACAGCAGAAATCTGAACAGAAATATTCATTTTCCCATCTGCCTTAATTTAGATAATTTATTTAGGACTAATTAGAAAAACAAGTCATTTTAGTACACTTTATAGACATAAACAAGAGTAAATCAACTCCAAACACAATCCAATTTTCCCTAATATAGTAAAGTGGCTTTCATAGAGCGGACATTTTTACATAGAATACTCTTAGTACCCTTAAAAGCCTACAGTACAGAGCACATCYAATAACCATCCCTAGAATAGTCTTTTACACCATTGAGTGCTGACTCAGATAAAATAATCAGCTATTGATCTGACATTCAAAGCACAAGCCCAACCCAGAGGTGAGCACAGTAGCTACATTACAGGACTGCTCAATACAAAATTAATGGTGAAAGTTGCCATTAACCTTGGCTTTCACGACTCACTGCTTCAGTATAGATCAGAAATATGAAATGGTTTATTCAGCCAAGATCATTTAAAATTTATATACTTGAAGGGTAATAAAAAAAAAAGCTAAATGGCCTGTTCACAGACWTGGCAAACAACCACTTTAACAAACATTTCCGGTGTGGTAGAATTAGCAGGCATCTATCAGAGGTTGATCTTTTTTTTTCTATTCTATTATTATAAAATGAGATTATAAGATTAATACTCAACATTTTTTTTAGCTTGGAGGATACTACTATTTAGACTGAGTGACGATGAGGACAAAGTCCAATTGCAAGCAACGTTTCAGTACTTCAAAATTTTGTTTCTACAATTAAACAGTGCGCATCTGATGACAACTCTTATTTTTTAATCTTCAAATAAATCAGTAAACAAAGTTCAATAAGTAGTAATCAACATCTAGCTACTGGTTGCTCTTACGACAATGTGAATGCAAAACAATTATGCACAAACGCACATTCAATGTCCAGTTTTACTGAATGGAAATTTAGGGAGCATAGTTTCTGAGATACTGATGCTGAGCTTGAACACGTACTTGCATTGGCATTGTCCTATGTGAGGGAATCTGTAGTGTCCTTAAAAAAAAACTAAACATTATGTAGACTGGAAGGTATTGTTGGCCATGAGCTATGTCTTCTTGCTCAACAATAAAGTAAGCCATCCAGACCTGCATTGAAATTCAAGGTGCATTCCTTTCCTCAGGCTCAGCCTCTACAAGAAGCTTTAAAAGGTTCAGCTAAGTAGAGRAATAATAATGGCAGCTACTTGTAGCCCCGACTGTAACTGGTTAAGTAAACGAACACTGCCAGTTGACCAAGGGCATAACAACAATAAAAACAGACTATTTTTTAATGTTTGTCTACTCATGACCACTGTTTCCAATCTCTTATAAAGGCCTAACATTCCTTGATGGAATGCATCCTGCCTGTCGCTTTTCATGCCAGYATTTTAAACTAAAATCATCTTATGTTGAGAAATGAGGGAATTTMAAGCCAGTATGATGAAAGCTTTAAAATAGCATTATGCACGACCTCCTGTGACATTACGAGAGCTCATGTGATCGTGCAGGATCTGTTATAGTTTGGGGTRATGTGTTGTGACCGACTCTACTACCACAAAAAATAATAATTAAAAAATAGATTAAACAATAACTTTTCATCTGACAAATTTCTGGCAATTTTCTGCTGGCAATTAACAGGTCCACCCAATAAAATCAGAYGTAGTTGCACATGCAACAATTTCCATCTAAAAGTTTAATTTAAATCTATCCAGTTGTTCATGAYGTATTTTGCTAACAAACAGGGTTGACTCCCCACAATTAATGCTAAATGTAAGGCAGTGGTTCCCAAACTTTTTGTCTTCTGACCCACAAAATATCCATGGCAAAAACTTGTGACCCCAAATATTACTGGTCTGAGTACACGAACTTCATTAATAACCCTACAAATATAGGCTTTTTGACAATCTAAAAACAGCTTGTACACAAATACAAATAC